CTCAAACGGGAATTTTTAGATTTCAGATGGAAATTTTTGTTTATAAATGGTTGCCATGGGTTTTTAAGCTATTATAGTAATAATAATAATAATAATAAAAAAAAAAAAAAAATATTTGCTTTACTTTTTAAATATAAATAATATTTAATGGGATTAAATAAATTGATTATTTTAATCAACCGTAGGTGGAATTAAGTAAAAACAACAAACTTGGTATAACTTTGATACTTTAGAGTTAAATCATACACTTACTGTACAAACAGCACGGGGTCCGCGATCTACCGCAGTCCGCAGGTAGATTGCCAACCTGATAATGTACTGCTGCGATTCAGAATTTTTATTCCGGACAACGGAAAAGTTAAGATAAATTTTGAACACCGTACACCGAATATTAAAAAGTTATAAAAAGAATATACAAAGTTTGAGTCATATAGAGTTGATACATTTAACGGGCAACGAAGTGCACGGGATCAGCTAGTAATAAATAATAAATATAACATATCCAGACTGACAAACCGTCTCCGCTCAGAATCGTATTTCTTATACAATAATATTATATCATTGAATTCAAGTTTAATACAATCCATTACACAATTACCCACTTGTAACCTACTGTACAGCAGAGCGACATCCACTTACCCTCTTTTGTTTGTACGTTTTTATTTATATACAAGATAAGTTATCGAAATAATTCTTTCATTTCCAACTTAAGAGTTGCTTCTGATAGAAAATGGGACGTAGTTGATATTTTTGAGAGATCAAAATTAAAAATTCTTAATACTTTGCAAAATAATCTGGAACAAAAAAAATTTTAAAATGCTAAAAAGCAAAATCAGTTTTCGATAAAATCGATTTAGTTTTTTTGGTGTAACTCTAAAACGAATAACCGTTGTTCACTAAATATGTAGATTGAAATTTTCTATACATGCTAAGTGATAACATCACTCCTTTTTTTGTAGGCAGTTGAAATTTTAATTTGAAAGTTCAAATTTTGAAAAATTATTTTTCACTTAACAATGTACCTATAAAATGTTCAATATGTATAGCTAAGAATTGAAAATCGAATACAAGGTTAGCCGATTATAACTAGTTCATACTGCAAACAAAAAAAATAATAAAAATAAATAAATACATACAGGTCTTTTTAATAGATATTCCAAGTTAAACTTCAGATGAAATTAGATATTTAAACAAATAATAATGATTTTAGTTATTATGGTGTAATTTAAAATTATTATTCATGAGTACTTAAAACTTTTTAAGTATGTTATTATATTTTAAACACACAATGCAAATTTCAATTACAATGTTTTAGACGCAAATTAATTCAACCTACCCACTGTATCATTAATAGGAAACTGACTTACTTTAATAGCTTTTAATATCTTAAAATATACGTCGGTGGTAATATTGACTGACAGACAATCTTTGTTCAGAATCGTTTTTCGTGTTCAATAATTTATCATTGAATTGAAATTTAACACATCCATTACAGTGGCCCACTCGACATCTACTGTACAGCAGGACGGTACCCCATTTGCTCACCTTTTTTTGAAATGTACTGCAATTTAATAAAAAACAATCTCGCACGAGTTCAATATCCCTAATATAGCTCGGTTTGATATTAGCATACTAACAATTTAATAGGTACACCGGTAGGTATTATAGAGAGGATTGTATTCAAAATTTAATTAAAATTTAAAATATATCGTGCGCAAACATTGTCGTTCTCGCGTTTTAATATTTTTCAGTATTTATATAGATGATAAAGTTACACGCATATTATACCGGCTCGATAACACGTTTTTATAATATTAAAAAATCTATACTTCAGTGTGTTTAATGAAGTGATGTTTTCGATTTTTGCTATCACGCGTTGCATATTTATATTAGGTATTATGATGCATTCATAATATAGATACCTATGTGAAAATAGTTTATAAAACTCACTTAACGTTATTAAAATTTACTTTTTACAATATTACCAAACAACGAGTGAGTTAGAATTTGTAGTATAATATATATTGTTATCATAATATTATAATTACTAAGACAAACGTTTCAAATTAGTGATTACTATTATAAAATAGTAGAATCTATAGCATGTAAATTTAGTTTTTATTAGCTGTGTTATAAAATTGGCTTAGTAAATTGGATGTATATAAAGTCTTGTAAAAACAAACGTTTCCAAAATATATTCAACATGTAATCTTCTATACATAAAGATCAGTATAAATTGCCAACTCTCGGTGTGTCGAATATTTATATCGAAAGTTGGATGTTTTTAAATAATAATTATTTTTTTTTGGTTTACAGTTCTTGGAAAAATTGTAAGTTAAAGATTAGTTTGCATTTTACTTAATGCTTGTTCATCCATTCAACGAAACTGTTATTATATTTTGTGATTATTTGGTTGATTCATATCTACTCGATATTATAGTTTTATAATTTATTCCACATATTTTTGAGTTTCAGCAAATTTAGAAACAACAGTTGTTATGTAAAAAATGAAATTTCTATTTTTATAGTACCAATTTAGTCTTATATCAGTATTTCATACTAGAAAAACCAAGGATAAAAGCAATACTATATATAAAATATAAATAAGCCAACTTTAGCCTACAAAAACTATAAAATGGATATCCGGTAAAAAATTATCACGTTTATATTTTGTAAATGCATATAATATATTGCATGTATTATATTATATACATTATCAATTTTGTAGAAAATCAAATACAAGAAATTTGTAATAATTAATATTAAAATTAAAATTAATTTTGTTCTTTACTTGCGTTAAGCAGTATATTATATATTATGTATTAGGCACATTGTATATTTTAAATAATAATAATTATCATAATATGATAATAAATTTAAAAACAAAACTTAAGAAACATTTTAGACTTTTTAACGGAAAATTATAAAGTATATTAACATATTACTATATTTCATGTTATACGAAAGAACTAATTTTTTTAGGAGTACATGTCTAATATTTTGAAAAGGTTATTTTGTAGAAGCTCGTAATATTCTGGTAATTTAATGCTTTATGGTTGGAGTCATTTTCAGTCTGAAATATCGAATTGCACGTTAATACGCAGTGCAGGTACTCAACAACTATTATAGGTACGAGAAAATAAAATTTGAAACGATTTAATGCTTTGGATTAAAGTCTTTAATGCAATCGATCGCAATTTGTTATGTTGACAACACATTTACTGATTATTATTTTAATATTAATTTTTACACGCTACTAAAATTGTGATGACTTTATCATTTATCTCGAAATTCACCTAAGTTGTAGCCATCGAAATATGAACTACGTAATTTATCATTACACAAACAATAATAATAAATATCTCAACTGTAAGATATGCTTACTCTACCATGCATCTGTTTTTGTATAATAATATACAATAATATACGAATAACTTTATAATGATAAATTATTTTATATTAGTTTTATGTTTAGTACCTTGTGCAATTAATTCATATATCCTTATTACACTATATTAGATTATATATTTGTATATTTATTATAAAGTTATATATGATACAGTGATAGTAATATGGTGTAAAAAGCTGGAAATTATCTTATTTATTTATCTGCATATTAAAGTGCAGTTAATAAAATATCCTTCGAATATAATATCGTTATCGCATAATCGCGAAAACGCGTCTCTATATAACTTAGGTAGATTAAAATATATTATTAATACTATGAAGCTGCACTAAAACTATTGGCAATGGCAAGACAAATACTATTTTAAAGTGCTTATTGATCAACACTCAGGTTTAATTAGTTATTAGATTTTACCATATTCTATACTTAATTTTACTGTTGGATCTAATGTTTTTCAGAGGATATATAATTAAAAAATATTTTGCAATATTACATAGGTGCACAATGCACATGGCATATTCTCATGTACTTATGTTTATGTACTGCATTAGATAATTTTATATTAAGTTTATTCCATTTCAACGAAGGGTTTTATTTTAAAATGAAACCAATATGAGGTTCGATATCATGATGGAAAAAAACTTGAAGCATTATTTCTATCTGATCTAGTAGATAACATATTGTGCAATTTACATGTACAAGTATAATATAGGACGCCATATTATTGATCACAGTAGGGCGCTTATCGTCTCCTAATCCCAAATATTTCGTAAACCAAATCTCGCATTACAAAAGTCGTTTTCAAATATTCAATAGGATCACGGATGATTTGTATGAATGTGTCCAAAAATCACCCATTTCTTCATAACACTACACAGTTAACCACAGCATGAATGCATAACGTTTTTAAAATTATTATTTTCAAACAAAGACGAACCATCATAATCGACAAACAATTAATAATTTTAGTAGTAGTATTATAATTTAGTTGGTAAGGTACACACGCACATTGACATCAAACCTCAATACATATCTAACCACTGCTGTAGGTACAGTAATTATGTAGGTAGGTGTAGAGTGTATCTTGTCATTAAGTTAGTCTCTGTAATATATTATGTGATACATTCGAACTCAAATGATAAATCAGTGCATACGAAAGACGATTCTGAACGAAGATTGTCTGTCAGCCAATGTTGAGCGAAGATAGACAGTCTCTAATAGAATTTAATTGTCTTTACACTGATTGCATGTCGAAATCTGTGTATATTTACAGCTATGCAGAAATGAGAAAATGCCTAAGCCAACCAGATTAGAAAAAATAATATAGCTCCTATTACATTACTTTTTTCATGCCTAACCACCAGGCCTATATTACTAAGTATAATAAAGTATAATACGTAGGTAATATATTTATCTTACTATAAGTAAATAATACTGTAAGTTGAATTGATCCTTGCTGACAACATATTACAACTATATTATTAGGACCTAGGAGTGATATTTGACATTTATAAACAAAAATATATATAATATGTATACATAAATAAATAATAATAATATGTTTACAATATGAATTTTATTTTATTCCTTGCAGTACATACCGGTGGCGGCCAGCACTCTGAGCCTGATGACGCAGTCGATCGACCGTTATACGTCCATCAAACACCCACGGCACAACAGGTTGCATCGGGACAAACACGTAGCGTATCTGGTGTCCGGAGTGGCAGCCGCGTGGACGGTGGCCGTGGTCGTCTCGGTGCCGCGGTATGCGTGGCCGGTCCGCCGGATAATCGTGGACATGCAGTGGACGCGGTACTACGAGGCCTGCTACTTGGCCGTCGTGTTTGCCATTCCGTGGGCCGCTGTAGCGTTCAGCCAGCGGGCTGTCAGCAGGACGTTGTACATCACGTCACTCAAGGCGGCCGCGGCCCGTGGTCAATTGCCGTTGCCCATGCCCTTAATGACAGCCCAATCCAAGCAAGTGATCCTGGTGGCATCTATACAGAAGAATACAACTGTTCAATCCAAGGTCAGCGGTATTTAATATGATAATAATGCTTATTTGCAGAGCGCACCCTTTCATGGCCGTTAAGACTTAAGTTCGCCGTCCAACGTTGCAGACCAAATTTATATTTGACCATTATTTAGGAAGTCAAAATATATTGTCACATGACTGGCTAAGCTTTAGGGGATAATAATATAGAGGGAGCTTACTTATAAGTCTGATTACCAGTACTTACAAATAACTTACTACGCAATGGTTAAATATGAATTTTGGGTGGTCAAGTTCTCGGTACATCACCCGTTATTTCCCCCACAACAAAAGAAACATCGTAAGTGTTACTTGTGGGCTGTGAATATTCCAATGTTACTATGTTAGGAACCATGAATTTATACCAAAAAATATAATATAAAATTTGATAATAATCAAGTTCCGAGGTTTTTGAAATGTTGAAATTGGGTCACTGACCCTGGTTCCATAAAGTAAAAAGGTTATTACAAAAATGGTTTCACAAATTAGTAACCTCTTTGTAATAATTCGTAACCACAAATTTTAAATTTGTAACTCAACTATACCCAAAATAAATTTTCCATTTGTGGGTGCCAGTGTTAATTAACTACTACACCCGAAACTTGAATAATGCTAATACAATTTTAACAATTGCATATTTATATATTTGGTCTTATAATTTCATTTTTCTGTTTGAAATTTTCTTTACTTTTTAAACAGTTACCTGAAATAACCGATGAATGCAATTATTGCTGTTATCTGTTAGAAATCTCAAATGGTTTTATGCAATCGTTAATGCTGGTTTGTATAAAAAGTATTAGAACCAAATTTAATTAAAATATATTTTTATACCAAAGAATAACTATTCACTATCCTCTATACTATTATGTCTTCCATAATCAAAGGAATATTATTTTTTAAGTAACAGGTCATTGTTATTTAATAATAGTTTGCCGTTAGGAAATTCCCGCTAAAAATATTAATTTACATTAACAAGTTATATTATGCATTTTGAATTCCACAAATAAAAGTCAAATCGATTTCATCGACGGAATTAAATAATTAATGCACAATATCTGTTGCCGCCGCAATAGAATAAATACGGACAAAATAATAATTTCACGGTCACGATGAGAATAGCTGGTCGCACACATATTATCAACGTCTAGAGACTCTAGACGCCCTTATTTTTGTAATATATTACAGTGTGTAGTTTGTTAGTCTGTTATAATATTATAATAAGCTAGCTGATCCCGTGCACTTCGTTTCCCGTTAAATGTACCAACTCTATATGACTCAAACTTGTTCAATTCGTTATTTAATATTCAGTGTATGTTGTTCAAAATTTATCTTAACTTTTCCGTTGCCCGGAATAAAAATTCTGATTAGCAGCAGTATATTATCAGGCAGGCATTCTACCTGCGGTAGATCGCAGACCCCATACTGTTTTTACGTAAGTGTATGATTTAACTCTAAAGTATCCAAGTTATATCAAGTTTGTTGTATTCCACCTATGGTGGATTAATATAATCAATTAATACAAAATCCTAACCTAACCTAACCGTACTAATATCAGATGAATAAAAAAAAAAAACCAAATTTAACTCTTTTTAAATTAGCCTGTCTTCTTCCCAGACGTCTATATATATATATATATATATTGACAAAAAATAATAATACAAATCAACAAACATGCCCGATTAACCAATAGCAACCAATATATAACACACTGTTGCGTTCCTATTTTATTTTTTACATCCAGATTTCTTACTTTTCTGGTGGATTTTCATGAAATTTTCTTTCGTAAAAACCTTCTCCTGAAAATTACCAACATCTTAAAAATAAAATTGAGCCAAATCGGACCAGCCGTTCTCGATTGATGAGGTAACGACATTTTTCACGTTCCTATTTATATATATACATTATGTAAAATATATTATTATACACTAGATACGCGTTATTGGCTTCATCGTTATTGCACATAAAAATAATATTATTTTTTTTCGGCAAATTATTATTATTTATTATATAGGTACTTTTTTTATTATATTATGGTGTGTGCTTGAATCGCAGAAATTTAGTGTATTTAATGAATTAGGTACATTCAGTTATCTATTCATACTTATTTTAGATGCTATTATTGTGAGCCATTATCTGTATTACATTTCAGGTTTCTATATATAAGTTGAGAACTCCTTTTTCCCTGTTGTGTCCGTCCGTTAGTTACCAGCAGTCTTGTAAAGTACTTGAGTAAAAGTATTTGAGTAAAGTATTCAAATACTTTTTAAGTACTCAAATACGTATTCTAAATACATTTGAAAAAAGTACTTGGGTATAGTATTTGAATACTTTTTTGAAAGTATCTGTATTTAAAATCAAATACTATTTTTAAATACTTTTACTTTATTACCAAATTTAAATAAAATAATAAAAATTTGAAATTGTACAAGATTTTTAATTATAGATCGTTCATGGTGTGTTTTGGTGGGTATATTGTAATATTTTTAGTGGCCTATACTAGGTAATGTGTATCCATTTAACTGAATGTATACAGTCTGCGGATTTCCTAATAAAATTGGAAATACCTTTACTCGAATTATATATAAATAAAACATAACGATAGTTGATTGATAATAATATATTATATCTATACATTATACATACTAAATTTATTTAGTTGACTAATAATTCAATTTATCTATAAGGTCATTAGGCTAAGGTAAAAAAGTGAATAATATTTAAAAAAAAAAAAAGTATTTGAAAGTATTTAAAAGTATCTGTAAATACTTTTTAAAAGTATTTGTATTTGTACTTTAATACTTTTTTTTTCGAGTATTCAAATACGTATTTTAAATACTTTTGAAAAAAAGTATCTGTATCTGTACTTGAATACTTTTTAAAAGTATCTTTTACAAGACTGGTTACCAGTACATATAGTTACGGTTGATGATATTAAGTTATATTTTCAAAGTAAATTTATACTTGCCAGTAATGAAAAATATCAATATTTGAGTATTTAATAAAGATTCATATAATAGTAAGTATAAAAAATTTCTAGGTACCTACCAATTTTAGATTTTACAATGATGTGTTTTTTTTTTATTTTGTGTCTGTGTACACGATAAGAAGTCGAAATAATGCTTCGATTTTCAACTTCAATATCTTATTCGATTGGAAAGTGAAAATCGTTGGTGCATTAGGGAGGTAAAAATTTAAAATTTCCAGAAATTTTTAAAAGCACCAAGAAAAACAAAAGTAAGGAAAAACGGATTTTTACGCAAAATCGATTTTTCACAAAATTGAATTTGGTTTTTGGTGTAACTTTAAAACAAATTACCGAAGATACATGAAATGTTCACAGGTAGTTTATACTTGCATTTTTTATACACGATAACATTTTCAGAATATTTTGATTTATTTTGAACTGTTTAGGGGCATATTTATTGTCCATTAACTCTATATGATTTAAACTAGGTATGTTAAATTCGTTACTTAACACCCAGATGAGTGATGTCGAAAACTTAAAAAAAAAGTAGATTTAAGTTCAAAATTCCTTTTTATTTGATTTCAACACGTAAGTCATAACATAATTAGTATGCCTTTCGATTTATCCCATCGTAATCTCCATTAAAAATGTTTAACGCAGTAATTTTGATAGTTTTGAACAAATATAAAATAAAGGCCGAAAATTATATTCAATCATAATAACAATTTTATTTTATGTAACCAATAGCAACCCTAAAATAAACAAAATTATATTATTTGTTCGTGAGCTAAATATAAAAAAAAAAGAGGGGAAATTGTACAGTAGGTTACTAGTGGGTCAATGTATAAAGGATTGTATTAAATTTGAATTCAATGATATTATATCATTGTATACGAAAAACGATTCTGAGCGGAGACGGTTTGTCAGTCTGGATATTTTATATTGTTATTATTAATTATCTATAGCCTGTAAGTTGAATTAATATTATTATAAATTACAACAAAATAACTAAAATCGTTATCTTTGTTATTTTTTGTATTTTTGTATTTTTATTATTTTAATTGTTTTCTTGTCACAATTTTTTATTCGTTTCTGTAGTGATATACAAAGCGTTAAAAATTAAAATAAGGATTTCATCTGTTTTTTTATAATTGATCGGTGGTTTTTCCCGTGGCATAAAACAACTATTGAGAAAATCGAAAAATGACCTCTCTAAAGTACCATATTGATCCAATTTTCTAAAATATAAGATACTATATATGTTGAATTTGAAGTACTCCTTCTGGTAGACATTTTGTTTCCAGGATAAAAATAAAATAAAAAATAAACACCATTGTAAAACCACTAGATTCCTCCCTCCCCTAAAGAATCTGAAAAATATAGTTTTATGCTCATTGAAGTCACATTGAAACCCTTCAAAATCAAAATTATTCAAAATCCTTTCTTAATGCACATCTAGACTTTAATACAAACATACCCTGAACATTTAAGAACACAAGTTACTATTCATCATAGTTTATGCTTTGCGTTGATTATGAATTAGGAAGTAAGGACTTCTTTTATATATTAAATTATACAAGATAACCATCACAAGTTCTCAAATCATACAATTACACCAATTACACCAAACTTTGTGATTAGAAAAAAGGGCTATAGTAATAGTTTATTTAGTCATTAGTTATTAGTTATTACATTTGTGTTAGTGTGAACTTTATAGTTATTTTACTGTCCATTTTTTAATCAATTGAATACGGAAACACGTGTTACCTCTCAACCAATTCAACATACACTCACACACAAATATACATTTTCGTATAAAACTTAGGTAGGTTGTCAGTTCCTATTTTCCCGGCAAACCCAATCACTGCTGTTCGATCTACTACACATCTGCACCACTACACACCGAGCACTACCCATCCAGCTATTCTTCCATTGTTTTAAGTTCTTAGTTTAGTGGTGAGAACGAACTTAATTATGGGTCATTGGTGTTCGGGTGCGGGTTTTATCGCTATACGTTGCCGGCGTTTATTTG